GTTGTCAATGGCATTCCATCTGAATGGAGGGAGGTTCAAGTTCAAAATCTTTATTGGCATAGATCATAATCATACAGTCGCCATTCAGTTCATGGATTTGACATGGGTTTGGAAAAATTTCAAGGACACCAGCTGTATGAGGGGGAGGCAGATTCCTAAAGGTTTTTTTGCTTGTGGTAAATGTTCTAACTGTAACTGTGCTGAGGCTAAGAAGTCGTTCCAAAACACTGCCAAAATGAAAACTTTATTTATTAATACGTTTTGCAACTGTCAAAGCAAAGGAGCGATTTACTGTATCCAATGTCCTTGTGGTAAATTGTATTTGGGTCAAACATCTAGACCTGTAAAAGTCAGAATATGTGAACACCGAAGCTGCATTAGATTGCATAAATGTTCTGCACCGTTAGTAAACCATTTTCTGGACTTGGGACATAGGCCGGGGTCATTTCCTGCAGGAGCGCACAGGAGCGGAGCTCCGGCAGTAAAGAGCCCAGGGGGCGAGCACATGCAACAAGCCCCACTCCCTGCTCCCAGCAGCCCTAGGCCACGAGGAGCAAGAAGCAGCCAGGTAAGTTGCAGAGCTTCCCCCAGCCCCCCGATCCAAAACAGTCCAGTGGCACCTTCAAGACCAAGTTTTATTCAGGTACAAGCTCTCCCTCTGCAAGGACAGATCTGCATGTCCCCCCCCCAATAGCTAGCAATCCAAAACAGTCCAGTGGAGCCTGAGCGGTGGGTGTTGCCTTCTGACACACTTCCGGTGATGTCAGGGGGTGTGGCACATGCACATAAGTTATGTTAATGAGTTATGCTAATGAGCTCCTGCACCTCTTTTTCTACGAAATGACCCCTGGACATACGAATAAACAGCTAACATTTTGGATCATCGAGACTGTACAGACTACCAACCCGAACATGTGCAGAGTGCTCCTGAGAAAGGAGCTGTTTTGGATTTACCAACTACAAACATGGGCGCCTTTTGGATTGAATGAGGAAGTTGACTGGACTTGCTGTTTGTGAACATCTGTAATTGTTTTTTGTCTATTCGGTATGCTGACCTGTTCCCCCCCCCCCATGCTGCTCCTTATCTCCCTCTCCTTTGTACCCCCTCCCATCTAGTACTTTTCCTGGCTGGCATTGTGCAATGCTAATTGGTGATTGCATCACCCTGGTTTCACTAATATATATTGCAGCCAGTGCAGCAGCTAATAATAGAATTTTCACCTTGATGAAGGGACACACATTCAGACCTACAAAACTGCTGTTACCAGGTTTGTTAGCCAATGTAATAATTTTCATTTCAATTTGGGTGAAATTAATTATACAATTTGACTGACCATTTTTTTTTTTACAATTTCATTTCACTTTTTAATTCAGAATAAGTTGTGGAGGTGATATGGCTATACATATGGCCCATCACTAATACCAGAGTCCAATTATAAGTATACAAGGTAACTTTATCTTTGATAGAATCATTTTTTGTTCAATAATAATTTCTTTTATACATTTGGACAGAATAATGAAGTTTCTTCTCCTTTCTTTTCCTCCCCTCTATTTTTCTTTGAACAATTTCAGGAAACAACATCCGGTTTAATTATATGTGTACTAAAACTCTGTAACAGGTCTTTGAATGTGTGTCTAGAATATATAGATAATAGTGACCACTAAAGGCCTTCCCTTAGGGACCAGAACGTGTTTGGTCTTCAGTTGTAAAGTATTTACCCATCATATGTATGTATAGTGGATAAGCTTTTATAGTCTGATCTTAGACAAAGTAATTTTTAATCAGGAAAGTTTTAACATGTGTACACCTTAATAAATATTTGTACTTTTATATATATGGTTTAGCTTAGCCCTTTTTGGTTCGTAGCAGTGTGTGTGAACAAGATATTGGGGCACGGGTGGACCGTAAGTTACATATGAGCAGCCAGTGTGATGCAGCAACAAAAAAGGCTAATGTGATCTTGGGGTGTATCAACAGAGGCATAACATCCCAATTGCAAGATGTTATAGTCCCGCTGTACACTGCATTGGTCAGGCCATACCTGGAGCATGGTGTGCAGTTCTGGAGGCCTCACTTCAAAAAGGATGTGGACAGAATGGAGCAGGTGCAGAGGAGAGCAATGAGGAAAGGCTGAGGAACTTGGGAATGTTCAGTCTGGAGAAGAGGAGGTTGAGGGGGACATGATTGCTCTCTTTAAGTCTCTGAAGGGCTGCCACTTAGAGGAGGGCAGGGAGCTGCTCCTGTTGGCAGCAGAGGATAGGACTCACAATAATGGGTTTAAATTAAGGGCGCGAAGGTACTGGCTGGATATTAAGAAAAACTTTCTTACAGTAAAAGTTGTGCAAAGGTGGAATCAGCTACACTGGCAGTCTTTAAGCAGCGGCTGGACAAGCACTTGTCAGGGATGCTCTAGGCTGATCCTGCATTGACCAGGGGATTGGACTGGATGGCCTGTATGGCCCCTTCCAACTCTGTGATTCCATGATTCTATGATTTTATGATGCTCTAAATCTCATTCTCTCTTTCTCCATTGCTGTTCTGTTTTATTATATCAACTTGATACACTTAAATGACCAAAATGTAATAAGATTTTCTTTCATAATGCTTTCAGTTTATGAGCCCAGGATGAAGCACATTTCAGAAAGGTTTACAGACAAGTAAACAGGTACATATCTAGACCAGACTGCATGTGGCACAATTCTGGTCAGGTCTGGAATGTCACTATACTGTGTCTGCACAAGGACTGTTTCTGACAGGGCTTTTTTGTAGCAGATCCAGAAGTATTCCTTGGAGGAACTTCTGTTGTAAAGATATCTCATGTTGCCAGCCCTCAAAATACATTATTTGGTCACTGTAAAAATGCATTCTTTCCCAGCAGTCACTTCCATTGTGTTAGTGAGCAGGATACAATGTCATTGTGTTCCACAGACATCTGTTGGAAGGTGCTCATAACATTACAGGAGATAAGTGATGTGAGCTTCCAGTTCCTCCATACTTGCTTCATTTTTGACAAGGGAGGAAGTGATTTGTATTTTAAAAAGAAATTTCTGTAAAGGCTGACAATTCCCTGTTGTGGAATTCAAATATTGTGGGGGTGCATCTTTAACTTGCAAAATAAGCAAGCAAACAAGAAAATCAAAGAGGGTATCTGAAAAACTATACCTCCTACTCTAAAATGCTCTGCCATTTTGTGGGTTTGTTTGCATCTTTCTCAGTTTTCATATAGTTCTCAGTAAAGACTTGGATCCCACAAATGACTTCCATGCTCCCTAGATGGTCTGTGCCATGGAGTGCACTTCTTCTTCCGCAAAAGGTCTGTTTGCAGAAAATAAATAGTTTTAAATTAGTTTTTGTGTAAAAACTGCCTTGGGAGTATTCATCTCTTTCTTGGGAGCAAAGGTGCACTCAAGTGTAAGTCAAGAGGTCCAAGGAGTAAGAATGGCAGGAGGAAGGAGAATACAGGGGGGGGGGGGAACAGCCTCCTGAGTGCAGGAAGCTGGCAGGGCCTGAGAAGTTAGAAAGGACTGTGTCTTTCTCTGGAGCAGGGCTGTGACATTCCTGGCCAAGAGAGCAGTGTTGTACTCTTGGGACCTACCTTCCTCAAAGCCTAACCCTGTGGTAAGCATGGTGGCTAAAGGCTACAATTAAGAAACACTGTGCAGGAACCTAGGCCTGTGGAAACAGATGGATCAAGGTGGTAAGGGGTAGTCTGAACCCTGGACTGTAACCTGGTATTTGAACCCAGGACTCTATTGCTGGAAGCAATCTGTGCTATACACCAGAAGTGGCACCTTTTAAGATGAACAAAATTTTATTCTGGGTATAAGTTTCCATGTGCAAGCACATGACTTCAGATACAGTGAAACAGAATTTCCTCAGCCATTACACATAGGGGTAGAGAGGATGAGACTGCTGAGTTACAAGTTATTACAACATTCAGGACAATGGAACCCCCAGGGCTTAACAGAGATATTGAGCTATTATCTCACTACACATGCTAAGTCACTTAGTTCTTGCTTATACCCAGAATTAAAGCCAGAATTAATCCTACCAGTTTTTGCAGTACTTTTGTTTGTTCAGTGCCCTTTCTGGGGTGTACTGGAGGCATTTTGGACTGGAAAGGTTTAATAAAAGACTGAAACTTCCACATTTTATTTCTGAAATATTGCTCTTGAGTGTCTGTAACACAATGAGGAGTGGCAGTACTTTTGTTTGTTCCTGGCCTGTTCCAGAGGCATTCTGACCTGGAAGGGGTTAATAAAAGTACAGGTTCTGTGTTTTCTTTTCTAAAATATTGTTCTCAAGTGTGTGTAATGCATCCCACGGTTTTTTTGTGGTACTATTGTTTGTTTAATGCCCTTTCCGGCTGTTTTACCATGGGGTTTTACCCTGTCACACTCTCAGAAGAATAGTTGTTTTTCCTGCTGCAGGGAGTTATCTTGGCATAAAATCTGTCCTCTTTAGGGTTGCCAGCCTTAAGGTGGGGCTTGGGGATCTCCCGCTTTTACAACTGATCTCCAGCTGACAGAGATCAGCTCCCCTGGAGAAAATGGCTGCTTTGAAAGGTGGACTCTATGGCCTTGTATCATGCTGAGGCCCCGCCCCGAACCCCGCCCTCTCCTGGATCCACCCCCAAAGTCTCCAGGTATTTTCCAACCTAGATCTGGCAACCCTAGTTGTCTTTTCTCTGTAGGGTAGGAGATTCTAGAATGGGCCTCACTAAAAATAAGACCCTCTCCCCTGCCTAAGACAGCGACATTATTTCCTTCATGTTCCTTCTCCCTCGGATGTTCGCATTTCGCTACACGCTTCCCTCTGGCGAGCAACATCAAGCTACCATTTCGACAAGCGTCTCCCGCCGCGCCTTCTTTAAGCGCGTAAAAGAGGGCGCCAACCAAGTCTAGTCAGCCGATCAGAGCTTGCCACCCATCACGTAGGCCCCGCCGGAACTCGACTGGAGGTTTCCGCGTGCGCTGCTTGTCCCTTTCCTCTATCATTTTTTTCTCTGGCCAGGGGCTAGATTATGAAACTCCAAGGAAGTTTCATAACCCTTCCCGCGCCCTTTTAGTAGGCGAGTTCCAAGGCAGGACGAGGCGCCTGGTCAGCAGCAAGTGCTTTATCAGGGGGAGGTGCAGCCTAGGCCACAGGAGCGCAGGTGAGGGGCGTCGCTTGCCGCTTCTCTCCCCCCCCCCCCTAACTTGTAACGGAGG